CTGACTAATGCTTCTCAGAAAAAAAATAATTATTTGCTTCTTAAAGTAACATTCTGGGATATTAGGTAAGAGTCCTGCAATTTGACTCTTTCTGCATTTTGCATGGGTTAACCACCTCGTATCAAAAAGGCTGATAATTCAGTTTGGGTTTTTTATTGCTATGTGCTACGTTCTGTGAGAGATGAAGGATTCTATCTGAATGCTATGTCAGATGAAAATATCTGTGTTTTGTGGAGTTCAGAGCACAACATTTCAAGAAATATGAAGGTTATTGGATATAGTCCAGAGGACAGCAGAAAGAATGATCAGAGGTGTAGAAAACACAGCATATAAACAAAGTCTTTCAATCTTCAGGTTTAGTTTAGTCTGAAAAAGAAAAAAACAAAAGGAAAGTCGTAATAGCCTTCTACTGTGTACAACTTTTCTGTAAAGAAGGAGAAAAACATTCCTCATGTCCACTGGGAGCAAAGCAAAAAGTAGTAGGTTTAAATTACAACAAAGGAGATTTAGGTGAGACATTATGGAAAAAAGCCCTTTCCACTGTAAGGATAGTTAAGCACAAGAATTGCCTAGGGAGGTTATGAAGAGGTTAGACAAACATATGTCAGAAATGATTTAGGTATAGCTAATCCTGCTGTGAGATAATGTTGGACTAAATAACCTTTTGAGGTCCCTTCTAGCACTATTTTCTGTGATTCTGTGATTAGGATACTGTACTCACATTGTCCTCCAGTGAGATGTTTCTTTACAGGGATGATATCGCTGTATTCTGCACTGCATGCTTTGCTTTGTTTTTACACAAAGCTGATGGGATGAACGATAGACTGATGTTTAAAGCTCTTTAGCCTTATTCTTAGTACCTCAGGAGCTTTGAGCAAGGCATTAGGAGCTCAACTTCAACCAGACAACCCTGTTCTGGTTTTGCACTACCCATGTGTCAATAAGGGGCTTTGGTGCACACCTTATATTTTGGGACTTGTACTATCTTTTAACTTACAGTCAAACACTTACGTGACTGAATGCTCAATTTCCGCTTATAGGCGAAATGCAAACAGAAAAAAAAAATAGCCATGAAAAGAAATGAATCATAGCTTCCCCATTAGTAAAACCAAAATAAAGCCAAGCATGTTCTAAAGCTGAATATAACTCAAGTTGTGAAACATCCTGGAACTGACAGATGGAGAATGATATTAAAGTGCCAGATATTATCATTATTACCTCATCACAGAGACCGTTGAAGATGTCAGTTTAAGACTGTCCTTATCCTCTGTAACACTCAAAACTCTTTAACTTTGTTCTTCCATTTGGCATTCTGCCATCCGTCAGGATTTCTGTTCAGCTTTGCATTCGGCAGGAGTGGGTTTGCAATATTGCCTCTGCATACTGAATATGGCTCCAGCACAGCTACACAGCGGTGGGCTTTGTAAAACTCCATCTGGAAGAAAAAGGAATATGAGGTTTCAGATTCTGAAGTAGTTTAGAAGAAATTGGTCATACATTTTGACAGAGAGTGTGTCTGATTAGTGTTACTATTCTGCAGAGATGAGGTTGTCACAGCATCTGTGACAGGGACATACCATTATGCCACAGCAGTGACCCAAATGTGTGGTTTTCATGGCTGAGTGTGTTCTCGAACCTACAGAGGAGATGGGGCAGTTCTTGGTTTTGTTGACCCTTTAGGAACATGAAAGTTCATGTTTTCCACGGTGTGATCTCACAACTTTTTACATTTATGTGATTAATTGCCCATTCTTACTCAAGGAATGAGCAGTTTCCATTTTCTTAGACAATCCCACTTTTTCCCCAGGTAGGGGCAGGATGGGAGAAGGCAGGCTCTGCAGTGCATGGTAAAGAGGTGAGCCAAAAGTCTCATCTGCAGATCTGAATCATGTTTGTGGATCCTGAGTGCCACAGCTCTGTGCAATGGACTTAGAACAATTGGCTTGTTCTCTGCAGGCAGGTTCCTTAGGTGAGGGTTTCTGGCTTAGGATCTGAAAGAGCAAGTGTACTGTTAAACAAGCTTATTTGCTGCTTACACCTGGTTTTCTGAAGGTAGGTGGATTCAACTGATTTGAAAATTCAGGAGAGAAGCTGAATCCATGTGAGAAGAAAAATACTGGGTTTTTTTTTACTCCATCACCTCATTTGCAGTCCTCAGAATTTCCCTAGTGAAAAGTACTCTTGCAAATATGTTTTGTATGGGGGATACATGTGTTTTGTATGAGGATACATTCAGTATTATTCAGTTGTTCTATTATCTGAAAACACAGCCTATGTTCAGTATTGGAGCTAAAATTGTATTTCAGACTGTTTAAAAATATATGTTGTTTAAAGAAGACAAACACAGAATGTTCTGTATTATCTATCTGATATTTGAAGCTCTTAAAGGAGAGGTCTTTTTGAATTATAGCAGAATCAGAGAACCACAGAATGGGTCAGGTTGGAAGGGACCACAGTGGGTCATCTGGTCCAGGTTTCCTGCTAAGGCAGGGTCATCCCAGAGCACATGGCGCAGGATTGCATCCAGATGGTTCTTAAGAATCTCCAGAGAGGGAGTCTCCACTTCCCTGGCAATCTGTTCCAGTGCACAGTCACCCACTCACTCACTCACAATAAAGAGGTTCTTCCACATATTCAGGTAGAACTTCCTGTGCATCAGTTAAAGCAATTGTATCATATTTTATTTGAGGGAAAGTAATTAAAATGGTAGCCCTTGCTCTGCTTTTAGAGATAGATAATTTTGAAGTTCATTCAAAATAAGAGTTGGGCGTTTCATGTTGACACATTTCTAGAGTTCATAAAATCATTAGGATACCCAACTTTCCTAAAAAGCAGTCAAGCTTTTCCAGCCCTTCACGGAAGAGTTTATTCTGCACCACGAGATGCTGCCCCATGAAAACCTGAGGGCTCAACCCCTGCAGTGTGAAGGGTGCCTGGGGAGGGCACACACCCACGCTGAGTCTGCAGACAGGATGAAGGGAGGGCTTTGGGGAGGGTTTTGCCTCCCTGTGCCCAGCACATGAGGGACTCTGCAGGTTCCCATCCCCTTACTTTTTGCCCCATGCTGGCCAAAAAAACCTGTAGACCCCTCAGTGTTACTCCACTTTCTCCAGCTGCTGCCCAGCTCAACAGCTGGATCCAGAGCAAAGCATCTGAGCAGCAGTTACAGCTTCATAGGCACAACTGTTTTGATACAGGTTCTCTGCTAGAGGCAGAGATAATGGTAGCTTTCAAGGCTAATATGCTTGGGAAGGAGGGAGCTGATACTGGAGGAAAGGGACCAAGAAATCAGTAGCAATTTAAAAATATAAATGTCTACCAGGATTCAAATTTCAGCTTTCAATTGATTTCATCCACTGTGCTCTCTGTGCTACTCTCCTCCGGTGCTTTAGTAGTCATTAAATGAACTTGGAAAACAAGTTTGTATCGATAACTCTTTTTTACCAAAAGCTATTAATTTCTAAAATAACATAAATACAGGTATAATTGTGATGTCACATTGTCAGAAGCCAATTCAAATGCTTTTCAGAGACACAAGTACCTGTAAAGTGGTAAGTATGTCATAACTAATGGTATTATTAGTTTGATTTACTGCCAACAAGTCACCTTTACAAAAATCAATCCCCAAGCTCATAAAATAAAATAAAATATCTCCCTAAAATTGATACATTTTTACCCTGTCAATAATAAGAGAAAAAGTGAAGTTACAGGTTTATCTTTACTTTTTCCTGTGTGTTACTGGTTGAAAGGTATCTTACAGATTGCTGTGATATGTGAGGGTGTGTATATGAGCAAGAGATAGGTTATAGAAATCATGAGCTATAAAAAGATTTAAAAAAAAATAAAATCTGAGTGATCTTTAGACAATTCAGATGACATGTCTAACAAAGACTGTCACTACAATAAATGTGACTATGTTAATATATTGAACCACTAACACAGGTCCTTATCATAATGGAACTTACACAATGGTAGCTCCTGTCAGATTCTGCTTTATTCATACACACATGTTTGTCTGATGCACAGAAAGACAAGCATATCTATTTTATTTCAGGTCTGAATTTATACTTCCATTTTAAATCACCCACAGAACATCTCAGCTTAAATCTGAGTGTCTCTTTGCTACTTGTCGTGTTTCTGTGTGAGTGTACTGAAAAGAGGTTACAGGCAATCTGCTGAGGTCTGTGTGTATGGTGCATTTGACCTCTGGACAAGAAAAGAGTTTCATCCTCCAGTGCTTTAAATTCTTATCCTTGCAGAGACTGAATCTGTTGCTTGCATTCAAATAGTATGTCTTGTTAATGCTAAGAAGCAGTGACCCACATAGCACAATGGATTCAACTGTCAATCCTGAGATTTCTGAGCTTTCCATTCATATATGTCTTAGCAGTAAATTGACTCAGAAATCATTTAATCAGTCTATCAATGCATCCTTCTTGTCAATGGTTTGAATCCTGAAAAGTCCAGTTTCTCATTGGGCAACACCAGCTAAAATAGATTTGGATCTAATACTAGATATTCAGACTGAAAATTCCCAGCAGCTCCCAAATCACAACTCAAAACCACCAAAATCCTGTCTTAAAAAAGCAGGATATGGAAGTTATCTTGAATTTTGAGGATGTTCATGTCTGGTCTAGATGTGAACTTCAGGGTGCAAAGCTGTCCCTGTTTGTTAGCATTTCAGAAATACCCTACATGCAGTTACAGAAAGCAGTGCCCTTTTGTTCCCTCCATGAAAAAAGTTGAGCTTTCATGCTTTTTTTTTTTTTTTTTTTTTTGCTATTTCCAAGGGCTGAGGCTAGAGCCTGAATTCTTTATAACAGTCAGTGTTATGAAAATGTCAATCATATCCTTACTATGTTCATTTTCAGTATTTATATGTTTATTTAAGTACTTGCCATTTCCTTTAAGCCTTACCTAGCCAATCAGGCCAACCAAGGTCTAAAGGAACAGAACACTTTATTAGTGATATGCTTAATACAGTTTTTTTCCTCTTGTAGATGCAAGATTTACGGAATACAGAAGGAGCCCAGTATAGTTCCCATCCTCAGATGGCAACCATGAGGCCAAGGGTTCAACCTGCAGATATTAGGCAGCCAGGAATGATGCAGCACGGGCAGCTGACTACTATTAACCAGTCCCAGCTCAGTGCACAGCTTGGTTTGAATATGGGTGGAAACAATGTTCCTCACAACTCGCCCTCTCCACCTGGAAGCAAATCTGCAACTCCTTCACCATCCAGTTCAGTCCATGAAGATGAAGGAGAAGATAGCTCTAAGGTAGGCTTAGATGCTAGGTTTACTATGTAATTGGTGGATATTTTTAGGACCTGCTCAATGAATGATATGGCCACAGTTATTAAGGTGATACTTTATACATGGCTGGTGGTTCACTGAAGTGAACAAAGGGTTATGAATACAGAACTTACTATATCCAGACAATTCTTCAGGCAGCTTGAGTAAATGACATCATTCCTCTTTGTGAGAGCAAACTGGAATACTGTTAAACACTGAAAGGATAGTCATTCCCTTAGGACTTTAATATAAGGGTTGAGTTTTCTCACTTGCATAGCAGGGATGTTTGTTCCTAGTTAAAGATCAAGTTACTGCTATAAAAAGTATGAACAGTCTGTGCAATATGCTAGTCTTTGCTACTTGGTCACAGGATGAGTAAACAGAGCATCATAGCAACCAGAAGAGAAAGAGCCTATGAACTTTAAAACCTTACCTTGAAAATCTGGAAGACCCTGTGTGCAGTTATACTTTGAGAGGTGCTGACACTTCCTTATGACATGTTTAAGCTTCATTTCCATGTCAGCACAGGAATGAAGTGATAAGAGTAATTTACATAATAAATTTCTTTAAAGGATAAATGTCAATCTATATAGCAGGTTTTGCATGCAAAAATCTCCCAAATCTCCCAAAAATCCTGAAAAACCTCTCCGAAATACACAAGTCTATTATCTTAATTTTGCAGACAGAAAAGCTGAGACACAGGAAGATTGGGACTTTGTACTAAGTCACCCCTTAAACCAGGAATGTAGCATGTCAAAACTGAGAACTCCCTTAGATCTGTTTTGTGGTCACTGGGAAATAGCAGTCCTGTTAGAGCACTCCTTCAGTGCAGTGTGTGCCACATGCAGTGCAGCGTGTACCACAGCCACGTCTGGTGGGGAAAAGTTGCAGACTTGCAGGGAATGTGAAGAAAACATATTGTGAGTCACTGAGGAGGTATAATCCAGTCAAGAAATGTAAGTCTGATTTGTTTTAACATTGTATTGTTTTTCATGCCTCAAGCTATAAAATAATCATGTAATTGGAGACATATGTTTTAGTACATTTTGAATAAATTCTGATTCAAAAGTTTTATTTCAGGACATTCCCCTGATTTCACAAACTTTAGGTTTTAAAAATTACTGAATAATTCATACATTTAAATGAGTACTTCCATACTGAGGGAGACTTTAGAATTCAGATATGTAAAAATAATTCCAGGCAACCTTTCCTTTTTTTCAGAATAATTTATTTTCTACTCCTGTTTCATTGTTAATATTTTTACTTTGCTGGGAGTGTGCAAGATGTTCCAAACTTCTGGAGGAAATACCCATTGAAATAATTAGTATTTCCTTTCTACTCCTATCAAGTATTTAACTTATTTAACCTATATCTTTAATGCACTTTTTCACTGTAGCACGTTGTGGCTACACTGGCAAAAGTGTAGGGTTGTGGTTTCAAGCAAGCAGTACTTATCTGAAGCTAATGTTTTTAATAGAGAAATACAAAGAACTGCAGACCAAGTAAAACTTGGTCCTTTCTTTGTGAAAGCCAGTTTATATAGTGTTCAACTTTCAAAAAGGATTTTATATTTTGGAAAACTCTCTTTAAATTTATCTCATGCTCAGTTTAAGCAGAAAAAGATGGCAAATGGCATAACGCATGACACAAAATTAAATCCAGTGTGCTAAAATAGATACATTATCTTAAAATTATAATTTCACTGCTAAGAGAAAAGTTTTAAAGGATCTTACATTTAGTTAATATTGACAGAGGGCTTAAATTCTTCTCCATCTAGTATGGTTTAAACAGCAAGCTTGATGGGGAGCAGATAACGCCATACATGAGTTCTGTAGGATTTCTTAGGGCTTCATGAAAACACCTGAGGCTGGCCACCAATGGAGACAGGCAGTGGGCTGCCATGCCTGATCTCATGTCATGGTCCTTCTGTAGTTCCCTCTTTAAAAGACAAGAGGGGTTACATAATCAGCCTGAGTTAAGTATACTGTTGTAGTTCAAGATTTAAAGCTCTCCACTCTGTATCTTTGTGTCACGTTGCTCTTCCTGGAATCTGCCAGTGAGTGGATAAGAATACTCAAAATAAACCAGTTTTCTGTGGAGATCTTTCTCCCCAGATACACCAGTATTACACTTTATCTGAGTTGCTTTGGAGGGGCCTGTGAAAGTTCTCACTCTAGGAATCCTCTTCCCAGTGAAGGAAGGCACTGGGTGGGGACAGGAACAGATAGACTGACTGTTCTGTCTCTTGTGAGAACATCTATCTTTTAACTGAATGTAACTTGGCGAAATTTGGATTTTTTTCTTTGGTTTATGAACTGTCATGCAGATGTGTGGTATTATTTAATAGATCAGGGCCAGAGCCCATTAGCCAGTTCTTCACTAGGAGTGCACATGTTGTAGTCATGGGGTCACTGTTGGAGTTTATTTCATGGAGGCAGAGATGTTCCTGCCATGAGCACTGTTGGTAAAAACCAACTCCCCCTGAACTCACCGTGTCATTAAACAGCAATAGTGACATTCTCCCCATTTAACCAGCAGGACAGGATGTTTGCCTGTGTACCCACACTGATCAAAAGACAAAGTACATTTCCAAATGGAAAATCACCTCAGTGTCAGATGACCCCCTTCAGTTTATACCAGCTGAAATGTGTGAAAAAGAAGCCACTGGTCTTTTCACAGCATATTTGGTAAAGAGGTCCTTAAATCTATACCTATTTCTATATAGAGAAAAAATACAGAAATCTCAATATCCTGTCCATATTTACATGAATTTATAGAAAGAGCATGATGGAAGGTACTTTATGTACACATTTGTATTAAAAGTATAATTGTTGCCTATGAACCACTAATTTTCATGCTTGAAGGAAGTGACCATTTCAGCTCTCTCTCTCTCTCTATATATATATATTCCAAATTTCAGCACTGAGCTATGCAAACTGATGTAATTTTTCGTATACTGAGCTTCTCAGATGTTCATTCTATGATAAATATCCAAATTGTTGTAAGCCTTATCCAGCATACACAGAATTAATGCAGCAGCAGCTAAACGTTGTTTGGCAATAGTCATTCTCATAAAAAGTCTTTCATATAGGCTGTTTGGACTTCAACTGTTCTATATTCCCTTGCTCAAAGAAAGGGAAAGGAGCTACATTATAGAGGGCTCAGTTTCCCTCCATGCTATTGCTCTAAAAGCAGGACAGCTGAGGTTGTTTGACCATAAGATCAGTGACAACTGTAGCATAATTGTAAGGTTGGATATGCATTCAGAGAGATGCTAAGAGCATAGAACTGCGAAATGTAGCCTCAGACTAAGGGCATTGTCTCTGCAAGGGGTGCACATCACTGAGGCTCCTTAATTCTTCTAAATCTCATATGTGGGGCTATCATTAGAAGAATAAAAAAGGGAGAACATAAAAATTAGTAGTCATAAGTAACAATAAAAACATTATAAACCAAGTGGCCACTTAGCACATGCCTTATTCTGACCACCTGAACACTAGAATATTACATTTATGTAAATCTTGCCATAATTCACATTGTTGTATCGTTAAACTTGTACTTCATTACTGCCAAGCATAATTGTGAACTTCTGGAAGCATTACTGGTTTGTAAATAAGTATTTCTTCATAGATGGATTACAGGGTTTTCTGCCATGTTCATTTGCATATCACTTCTGAGAGAAATTCAAATAATGTATTTTAGAGGGAAGATAGTGAGAGGACTGCAAGTAGCAAGAATTAAATAACAGAAACACAATTACTAAAGAACTGCTGCAGCATATTCTCCTTATGTGGCAGAGGTTTTACAATATTTACTTTATATGATAGGAGTTATAAGTGGAATTCTGTGTTGTCTGTTCAGCCTATTATGCAGATGGTGCTTGATTAAAATCTATTTTAAACTACAGCGATTACTGCAAGATAGTGTGCATAAAACAGCTCTCCTAGCTCCATTAAAGGCTTTGGTACTATTGCAGTTTATTTTAAATATGCTTATAGACATTTTCCAGGTTCTCAAGGGACATTTAGATATCAACGATGTGCCTTACTTGATAGTTTTAAATCCTACACTAGATATTCTTGTGATCTATTATGTGTGCAACATGGTTAATGTACACTTTTTTAAAGTGAAAGATTATTGCTTTCTTGTGATAAATAAGTTAAATACATCACCATAATTAAGCAATAAGCCATGACAGGAGGTGGATTACCATGAGCTAACTACACCTCTAGGGATTTTGAAGCACAAGTCTATGCCTAGCAGAATATATATGGTTTTTATTTTATTTTCCATCTGTCTCTGCTTTGGTGGTTAGAAGTGGAGTCTATGAAGCTGATAGACTGATGGGAGCATAAGGCAGGCCATCATCTCAGCCATTTGCAAGGTTATTAGTACTGGAATTCTGGTATTCTTTTTATTTCGTTATTTTCATATAAGACAAACAGAGTTTCCCCTGTGAGTACTCTGTTTTTAACAGTGGGTTTTTGAAGTCTCTTGATCATTAAGGTTGGAGAATAAGTTTTTAGAGCTGTTCACAGAACAGCTTTCCAGAAGGCACTTACACAAGTTTCTGTAGTATATCACCTAGTTTAAGGGTACTTGAAGTAATGTAGTATCGTGACGTAGAGGGAAATTTTAAATCTCATTGGTTCAAAAATTAACTGAAAGGTGAAATATGTTTGCAAATCACACAGGTAAAATTTTAACTATAGAACTAATTATTTCAAAGTCTTCTTGCTCGTGGAGTCTGCACTGGACTGAAAAGTTTAGACTAATGTTCTCAAATTAGAGCCCCAGTTAATTATACTTTAACTGCTAGTTTTCTGTACCCTGTAGAATAAAAAAAAAACAGCAAGAGACAAAAAGGTGGATAACTTAGTAAAGGCTAGCACAATTTTGTTTTTCCATATTTTCCAAATGCTGACAATGGGCTGTGTGTCTATTAACTTTTTATTAAAGTTGCAGCTATTGTAACATAATGCTCAGAAAACAAGCAACTTCATTTTCAAGTTCTACTCATCACTTTCACATCACTGTGTCTCAGTCACAGAGATTGAGATTTTTCACTGTAGTCGCTTGGGTTCTGTTGGACACCACATAGTGAGGCATACAGGAAAATAAAAAAGTTCTTTTTCTCAAAATGAAGCTTTCCAACCATTTTCCTCAAGCAGTTCCAATGATTAGGACACCTGTATCCTCCTGTGCCACTTGATACGCATTATTAAAAACTAATAATAGAAGGAAGTGAAAGAAGTCATGCCTAGTAGATCCTTAGCCTAGAGCATACCATTTATGCTCTTGATCTTCTCTTCTCTTAAAAATGCTTATAGTACATAGTACTTTGGTCATGCTGACAAAAGGAAAAAAAAGCCTTTGAACCCACTTGTGAGATCACACACCATTTCTACAGTTACAGTAAATTAAGTGATCATATCAAGAAAAGCTATTTTTCCATGGAGCTCCAATGTGTTGAAGAATCAGGTTATTGTTCCTTTATGTGCTTGTAAGTCATAGAATCCTAGAATCATTTAGGTTGGAAAAGACCTTTAAGATCATCGAGTCTAATTGTTAACTTCACACTTCCAAGCTCACCACTAAACCATGTGCCCAGGAGCCATATCTATGCATCTTTTAAATGCCTCCAGGGAGAGTGACTCCACCATTTCCCTGGGCAGCCTGTTCCAATGCTTGACAATCTTTCTGGTGAAGAAGTGTTTCCTAATATCCAATCTAAACTTCCCCAGGGGCAACTTGAGGCCATTTCTTCTCATTCTATAGCTTGTAATGGGTCAAGAGACCAACAACACTCACCTTGCTACAACCTTCTCTCAAGCAGTTGTAGAGAGTGATAAGGTCTCTCCTGAGCCTTCTTTTCTCCAGGCTAAAGAAACCCTGTTTCATCAGCTGCTCCTCACAAGACAGTTCCAGACCCTTCACCAGCTTCTCTCGGAAAACCCATTTGCTTTGGGGTTTGCGCAAATGCTCATGTGCAGGGTTTTTTCAGGTGGTGCATAAATAAGGCACATGGGCTTTCCTCCATACACCATTCATCTTTCACTCCTTTCCTCGAACCATTTGCTTTCACATGAGCAGATACAAAATCTACTCAGCTAAATCCAGATAGGCCAAAACAGATCCTTTAAAGGGCTCTAAACTCTCTATACTAGTAAAGGTTTGTTTCTTCAGACTTTAATTACAAGGTGTGTAGGGGAATGTCTGTAACTTGAATTGCTTGGTTCACAACCAGATTTTCCTCAAAGACTCTGGAAGTTATACCACCAGCTGCAGAAGAAATTGATTTGAATAGTAGTCTGGGGTCATTCTAGGGAAAGAGGAGAATAAGCAAAAGGTAGAAATGACAGTGTTCCTGCTGTCTGCAGATGGTTCATGTTGTTGAACGGATATTCAGGCTATAGAGAAACCAATTTCATTTGAATTTTCTCATTATTTTCTTGTTACAACCACTAGCAATAAAACTTAGAAAAAGTAAAAAGATGACAGAGATTATAGCAATTATATGAAAGAGTAACATAAAGTATTTAAGGGAAAAAATAGCATTATCCAAAATACTTATAGGGAATTTTATATATGTGACTAATGCAGATAGTATCAACATTTGGATTATCAAAAATAACAACAGAAATTCCATTTCTGCATGCAAAATCCAAGGACTTTGCATCACAGAGGTTGTAACAGTGGCTGGAGTGAATGAAACTGGCTTTTTTTTATAGTACTTTCCTAATTTTATGTTACAGGTCAACGGTGGCGAGAAGAGACCTGCTTCAGATATAGGGAAGAAACCGAAAACTCCCAAAAAGAAGAAGAAGAAGGACCCAAATGAGCCACAGAAGCCTGTGTCTGCCTATGCATTATTCTTTCGAGACACTCAAGCAGCCATCAAGGGCCAAAACCCCAATGCTACTTTTGGTGAAGTCTCTAAAATTGTAGCTTCAATGTGGGACGGCTTAGGAGAAGAACAAAAACAGGTACAATATGTACTGTAGCTCAGAGGCTTTGTTTCAGGGAAGTGTTATCAGGGTCATCTGAGCACTGTAGGCAGCTTCTTTTGTTAGCCAGGATGAAACTTGAATATCTGCCATCTCAGGAATATGATTTAAAGAGACTGAGATAAGGAGAGTATCATTTTATTTCATCTGTATGAAACTACTAAAGGAGTTTATCTTGTTTTGGGATGTGGCACAAGTTTTAGGATTATATTTAGGAATGTTTTATGCCGAAATCTGTGGGCCTAGGATTTTACAATGTCATTGTCCTGTATGTGAAACTGCCATGTAAGAGGACCTTGCTGCCAAAGCTTAGATCTGTGCAGTGGGAGCAGACATATATCTGAGCTCCCACTTGCAGATGTTTCCCTTCCCCATGATCCCACAGTGCCAGAAGTGAAGCTGGGCTCACATTTGCTCCCAAATCTTTTATGAAAGAAGTTAGTGATGTGTTGACCCAAAGAGACCTAGGGTGGATGCTGGCAATGGGCATCCTCTGGCATGTGTGTGGGCTGTGAAAATCACTTCTCAAGCTTACTTCTGTCTTCCATGGAAGGCCTTGGTTCTACAATGAGGCCAGACCTGACAGCAAGTTTCAAGACCTGAAACTTGGCAGAAATCCTTCCAAGTCAGTTGAAGCTGTGTAAAAGTGAGCAATTCTGGAAGCTCATCACATTTAAGTGGTGACAGCTGGCGAATACCATTGATCCTCACTGTAGCATACAAATGCTCTTCTGTTGTTATTGGTTGCATACTAACTAACTTACTAACTGCCAACAGAATGGATTGGATTGATGAAGGAATGGGAACTTTAAGAAAGCAACAGATATGGAAGGAAAGGATGTGCTGAGTGAGAGTTATATTGGCTACAGGAGACCTGGACTGGGGTTGATGTCAGCACAGAGAGTGGAAAAGTACTGGGAATTAAATGAATCTCATTTATTCATGCACTGTTATTACGAAATTACAGTTAAAATACGAAGAATTAATGAAAACTTTTAAGTGATTTTTTTGGTATGTAAAATTATTTGGGCTTGGGGGGAAAAAAATTATTCTTATTATTTTGCTAATAACTGGGTGGTGTAAGTACATGTAGATCCTTGTTAAAGATACCAGTGTAAAAAGAATCAATATTTAGCACTCACTGACTAAGTTAAAAAAAAAAACAAAACAAAACAAACAGCTTTTGTTATCCAGTATCCACCAATGAATAAGGCCAGAGTTTGGAAGGTTTAGCTGGAGGAAAGTTAGCTCTCTGAACACAGGGATCAGAAAAGTCCCTTGGACTACCATTAGAGTTATTTTCTCGCGTTGTGTCTTTCTTTTCCCTGTTTTAATATGGCCAGCAAAGGCCAACCTAAAACACTGTAAAAATGTACATTTCCTTTGAGAAGTGTCAAGCTCAAATTTCCATGAGCTTGTTATGTGAGTACTAACACCAAAATATTAAAGCCCTTCCACAGAAATGTGTAAGAAAAGTGCATGAAATCCTAAATTTCCATCTTTAACTTTGATTTCCTATTCATGGTTGAGAGCAAAGTTTGAATAAATCCTATGTTGTAAGAACAGAACTAAATTTATTTTCCTTATCTCTGTTGCTGTTAATTTAAGTTGAAACACAGATGAATGATGTGTTAGGGAATCCATATGACACATGCATGTAAAAATGGCTGCAACTATGTTTATTTAAGCCAACTCTTTAAAGAGTTTGGGTTAGCATATCTTTGTTACTTTTTTGACTCATTTTGCTTATTCATTATCATCTATTATAAGCACATTTTAAAAATTCCAGGCCCAAGCCCTTTCTAATCTAACACTGTACAAATATAGTAAAAGACAGATCCCATTTAAAAAAAATAAAATTGGCAATCCTATTTTCTAGAATAAATTTACACTCATTTTTTATTCCATTAGGGATCTAATAGTACAAAGTAATGGTTACAAGACATCTTAACTGACCAGATAGTCTGTATTTTAAAGGCCTAATTTTTCAGATCCAGAGCATTAGTAACTGCTATGAAACCTTGTCTCTGGTAGGAAAATTGGACTCTAAAAATACAAATGATTAATGTAGCATTTGGTATTTAACATTGAAGAAGCTTCAGAAATTCAAAAATAGTTAAATAAAGAAACAATAACATCATTTGAGGACTACTTTATTGAAGAATTATACTTGCTGAAAAGGATTCAATTATCATAAAGCTTCTGGCTTACGTTTTGGAAGCTAATGCTTATTCTGGAATTTAAATAGAAATATGTTTCCAAATTATGTTTCCTGGATTGGAACTCTTACTATCTAAACAGTAAATATAAATGAGTCAGAAAGTAGAAAATAATGCAGCTATTGAGAAAGAATAGCCTCATGTTTTCATGCTAAAATGAAATCTTCTTTGTTCCTATGATCTGAGCCATTTTTTTCTCTAAAATGCATATAATTCTTCTTGTTTATTCCTGAAGATTGACCACAGAATAAATGAAAGTATAGAAACTCAGTACAATAATGACCTAAGGGCAGTATATGTATGTCCAAGACTTTAAAACAAAATTTTTATAAGCTGGCATATTAGACTGTAGCTTGAAAAGCTTTCTGCAAAAACCACATATGTTTTTCAAACTGTGAAGAACTAGGAAAGTGTTATTTGAGAAAATAGAATTTGAATGACAAAAAAGGAAATGGTGTTATGAACTAGCTGATGGTGGGTGCCTTACTGAAGTTAGGGGAGGGTTATGCTTAAAATGGATTGCACTCTGGTACTCTTACCATGAGGATAATGCAATTTATTAGACTACAGCAGATACCAGTGTACTTCCCTCTTATTTTATCATATGAAGACATTTGAATTTTTGAATCATATGTTCCCATTAATTTCTGTGTGTAAAAGGCTCCTTTGAAAACAATGCTCGTGTGTGTCAGTATTTTGTTTGTCCAAATCTATCTACAGAGTCTAGAAGTTAAAGGGAGTTTAGTTGTCATAGTAGACTTCATCATGGACTTCTCAAATTATGAATAGAGTACAATAATTACACATGATCAGAAGTAAGCACTGTGCATTTTCCTTCATTTTTCACTGTAAATGCATTTTCCTTCATTTTTCACTGTAAATGCTTTCTAAAAGTGTTCAGATTAATAAATCTGTGAATGGTAGGCAGCTGTAGCAGTAGTCTGTTGAGGTACATTCTCCTCGATGCTGTATCCACAGCACTGGGATACTCTTTTTTTCAGTGATTTTTCCAGCTCCTCTCTTATGGTCACAAACACTGTTTTCTCCTTAGTGCTATATTTTTGTGCATCCCAGTTCTGTAGCTTATCTATGTCCATCTCTGCCCTTTGCACACTTTTTTACTGCAGAAGGGAGATAAACAGCCCCTAGGAAAGAGGGATCAGCATGCTAAATGGTTGAGTTGCTGGCTTTCAGACAGAACACTGGTTTAAACTGGGTAAAAAGGCTATTTAGGTCATTTTCTGTCCTTAGATGAAAAAGGAAAGTAATTTTAAATCAGTACCAGATGTGCATGTACTAAATGAACCTTAAGTTTCTAATTGGAGTCCTAGTAAAGCTGCAATAGATGTGGCAAATTACAAACAAAATGTTCTTGTTTACATTAGTGTAACTTTAAAACTTCAGCCAAAGACCTTAATAAATGCTCTGTTATTCTAAAAATGGAATTGAATGTCTATTCAACATTCAACAAAATTAATCTCTGGTGTAACTTCAGTGACATAACTGGAATTCTAGTAGGAATTAATTTGGCCTCCTATGAACAGCTTAGTGTGTGTGTGCTTGTGTTCCTGTGTGTTTGCTTCAACATTGCACTGGTCCTACAGCTGGGAGAAGGAGGGATTCACTCAGGCACCCAAAACTTAGCAGTCAGAAGAAGCAGGTGAAAGGACTGTTTGAGTGCTGTGACAGATGCTTTCTTTCAGGCTGCATAATTCATAGACAGTAATATTAGCTGCAACAGTTCAGCTCAATAGCAACACCTCATTATTTTATCCCTCAGTATTTATTCCTATGGTTGACGCCTCATGAAATTACTGTTAATGTGTTTATATAAGGGCAGATCTGACACAAGTGGGGAAGAATTTAATTTCCCACTCATTCTTTCCTGCTGATGTGTCCTCTTCCCCTGGTAGAAGTGGCAAGTGTAAATAGTTAATTTGCTTCAATTATGAGCCTGTCCTGCTAAATTAGAAGCAGCAGGAATATGAAGAGCCAGAATTATACATATGAGGCAGCTGACAAATCCTGCGAGCTCACAAAATCAAATCATTTACTCCTCATTGGTGCTCAAAGACCCACTAGATAAAACCTGCAGTTTATTCTTTAACATCTGATGGAACTTGGATTGCATGCTACCAATACTTATGCAAAACAAAGTCCTTGTGCATTAGTGTCAATGTTTGTGATGCTGTTACCATTTTCACTATAACCCACAAGCTTTCAGGGGTTTTTATTTTGTCTGTAAAAGTAACCCAGATTGATTTGGGCATGAAAAAGAGCAATGTGTGTTTTATAAGTTTCTCTTTTGACCATGGGGATGTTTTAGACACTGCTGGGATGAACCAGGTCGATATCAGGAGGGGGTTTACAAGTAATGCTGGCCAACACCTCTTATCTCCACAGCTTCTCTTATGATGTGAGACAGCACCAGACAGATCAAAGTGGATCCAAGATCAGTGTTCCAAGAGGTCCAGACTCTGCCTGTCCTCTGGGAACACCCTACCTAGGTCCTCCGTCCCAGTTGTGATGGTGTCCCATCCTTTCACGTGACAAATGAGATCATACATCACATGGCTGGAAGAGCCATCATGTCCCCATTGCATTGACATCTATGTGGGGTGCCCAGTGTCAGGTTGTCAATCAGTTCAGGGGGATGGCTTCTGAAAGAGATTCAGAAGATGTGCAGACCATGAGGTCAAGTAGTCAGTGGCATTTTTAAAACAAATTTTCAATTTCTTCCCTTATATATGCTGATATACT